CCCCCCCCCCCCCCCCCCCCATCCCCCACGCCGGGCGCCTCCTACAGGGATGACGTCTGCCTCGGTTGCTTCGCGTACCGCCTCCGCTACGGCTGTCCCCGACGCCCACCGCTCCTCGGACAGCGGTAGCGACGAGAACGACAACCGCGAGCAGCAGCAGCAGCAGCAGCAGCAGCAGCAGTCCACGCAACCTCGGCACCACACGCCGAGCGTCAGGTTCAGGGCCGCCACCACCACCGTGGCCGGCGGGATCAAGCAGGCCTTCGCGCTCGCGACGGAACTCGTTACGGTTCGCCATCACCGAGAAGAGTCTCGCCCGGCCGCCGCCGCCGCCGCAAGCGGCGGCGGTGGCGATAGCGATGCCGGTGCTAGCGGTAGCAAAGACATCTCCGTGGAGGCACAGCGGTGGGAAACACGGGAGGAGGACAACGTAAACGGTGGTGTGGCTGTCGAGAAGCTGAAGAAGCTGGCGGCTGAGACGGAGGGGCAGGGCGGCGACGAAGAGGCCTCCGCGGAAGCGGCTAAGCCGCCGCTGCTGCCGGGCAAGGAGCTGGTCAAGAGGATGAAAAATGTGGGAGCAAACGCATTCTTCATTGTATTGTGGCTCAGATTAAGCCCCCCCCCCCATTTGCTCGTTGTCCGTGGCTGCACCCCCTGCGGAGCAAGTGAGACGATTGTGGCCCACAGACTCAAAAGGACGAATCCAATGTGGCGAGACTTCATGCGGCCTTTCGCACCTACTAGTCCACGTCCGGCGTTGCTATCGAACTCGAGGCGTGTTCCTTGTTGCCGTTGCACCAGCTGCTGTTTTTCCAACCCCCAACTCCGTTCGCAACCGCTGCCACCGCTGCTTGCCATCGCCGCTGGTGTTGGTGCTGCTTTCCCCCGTGTTTCGTGTTCCCGGCGGGGCGTGATTAGATCTCCCAGTACATCGTGACTAGGTCGAAGACGGCAGAGGAAGCGTACAGCGACACGTGGGAGGTGGTCATGGAGATGGCGGATAGGGCTGCCTCCAGGGGATGCGACGTGCCAACAGAAGGTGGCTGTTGTTGTTGTCGTTGTTGTCGTTGAAGCTGTTGTTGCTTTTCTCCGTCGTGAAAGCAAAAGAGTTCTGTGTTCCTTTGCACGCCCCCTTTTTGTTTCAAGCCCTCTGCATACTCTGCTCGAGATGTCAACGAAGCTCGACTTCAACGATGCTCAACGTGAACGACGCACATGAAACATGCTCTACATCAACGATGCTCGACATCAAAGGTGCTCGATATCAACGATGCTCGACATCGACAATGCTACATCGCGTATGCTGGACCTGATATTGCGTTCTAATCCTACTTTGCTCCTTCTCAGCTCTGACTGGTAAGGTTCATGCTCATCAAACGCCCCGCTTCCACTCCATCCCTCCCGACTCCATTCCCGTGCGGCCGACAGATTACACTTCGAGTTCCGCGCCGTGTTACGGGGCATTGCTGGTGACGCCTGACATTGCCACCTACAGCTCCGACACGTTCCTCCGTTTCCAGGCAAGTACGCGTTTTTCTCTTTCCTCTTTGAAAGAAGGCGGGTTCGCGTTTCCCACTAATGCACGGTCACTTCAAAGCACCTCCCCTGATCTCAGTCGAGTGAGTCTCCCCGTATCTTTCACCCCATCCTCGTCTATCCCACCCACACGCGGCCACAATCTTGGCAGTTTTTCCGAGGGATGATCAGAGACGCGACATGACCAAGACACACGGCTCCACCAACACGAGTTACATACACACCACACGCAGCAGTTGGAGGGCATATTTACACACAGCGCATGCCAGAGAACCCACGCAGTCGAATTGTCGGTGCAGTGACCGCGTTCTAGGTAACCGTCTTCTTCACCTCCTCCCTGAAGCCACCCCTTAGCCTACTGCCTCCTCCTACTCTGCCCAACCCTGCCTCCATTTCCGTTTCGAAGTCACGCATATGAGATTGTTGACATGTTTGTATTTTTCGTTTTGGTTTATTGAGGTCGCTTGCTTTTCTGATGGAAACACGTCAGCTGCGTAGAGGTTGTTGAGCTTGGGAAGGGTCAAGTTGGCGATTTGAGGTGTTGGTCGAGAGAGGGGGATTGTTGAGCCGTTAAGTGGGACCCACTATTTCCAGGTTCGTCCAGTTTCACCGTCTTGAGCAGGGAGAGGGAAGGAAATACACAGCTGTGGAAGAGCCCTCTGTTGAGTATTTTTCTTGAACCTCTCGCAGGAGAGAGAAGGTCGAGGCCCGCGGTTGAGACAAAAAATCGCCCAATTTCCTGCGCCCCCGCTCTCTCCCTCGTTGAGACAAGATTCGCCCTACTACGTGCCCCTGCTCTCTCCCTCCCTCCACTACACAGGAAACCTTGAACAGAGGCCTGAAGCACCTCCCGATGGAGCATGACATCTCCGTAGAGGCCTTCCACCCCGAGGCCGTGAGCGACGCCAGCCCCCTCGACCACCGCTTCACCCGCTCCCCGTACCCGACCCTGCACGTCTGCTACCACGGTCTCCGGGAGAAGGGCACGGCGCTGAACCCCCGGGTAGCGGCGGCGCCGGAGAGAAGGAGGAAGAAAAAGAAGAAGCCGGCGGCGAGCAATGGGCTGGGGTCGCTCTCATCGTCGTCGTCGTCGTCGGACGCTACGCCGAGCAACAGCAGCAGCAGCAGCAGCAGCAGCAGCAGCAGCCGGGGGGGTGGAAGGAGGAGGACCGACCAGTCGGGAGATGGCGCCAGTACCGGCGGCCAAGCGGAGAGGCAATGAAGGAGACTTCGGTACGGCAACGGTGGCGGTGGAGCGGCGGAGGCGACGGCTTCGGTAGTTGTGGTTGTGGTTGTGGTTGTGGTTGTGATGGTGGTGGCACAACGACTGTTGCCGAGTGGGGCTTTTTGTGCAGGTGCGAAATGCTGCTGTGTATTCGACCTTTGCAGGGAGTACGGGGGGGCGGGTCCAGGATGAGGGATGCATATACGGTTTATATATGTATGCCTGCGTCACCCCCTATTTGTATCGTGTCGCATCTATTGCCGGACATCGATGGGCGCGAGAAGAAGCTTGTGACAGAAAGGTATTCAAGGGATGCGTGGGGGGTGGGGGGGTGCGTTGAGGACTCGAAAACGCGGGTCTTAACGTGGGTACAACTAGTTTTTGGACGTCGCAAGTGGTAGCACAAAACAACAAAACTCGTATGGTAATAGCGATGGATGTACATACATGCACGATTGGACATGTAGTCGTTGGGTAGTTTAGGTTCTGTTGTGTTTCGTGTCTTTGGGGAGGATGAATGCGTGTGCAGTCGATGTGAAAGAAAAAACCGCCTTGCCGACCTGTCTTGTTAGAGGAGAAAAAACCCGTTGGGCACGAATGAAGCCAGCAGCGGTCGCGGAACCAGGGGATGAGAGTTGACCGCCCCCGGATGTGGGGCGTTGTGTTACCAAGACAGCCCGGGTGAAGGTGTGTTTAGGTTCGGAGCGGTTTGTGCTGAGTTGCTTGTTGCGGGGAGGTTGATGGGGGCCGGGTGCTGAGGCAACAGCAACGGCAGCCCGGTGCTTCAACGTGCCGAACGTTAGACTGACTATGCATCGAACCGACTGCTCTTGCTGTGGTGTTCTGCAGAAGAGGGTGGCTGCTGTGTGTAATGTGATGGATACAACTTACGCCCGGTGAGTTAACGCGCCCGAAGAACGTCGTGGGCGGGCATCTCCGCAGGGTTGGGTGTGATACTGCAACTCCGGTGGGATGCGGGTGGACTGACTGGTGTGCCTAGTTTGTTGGCTGATTAGGTTAACACTGACTTGACGGCTACACTGGTTTGATTGATCGATAGACTGTGGTCTGGTGTTGCTGGCGGCGGGATCATCAACTCAGCTCTGTTCGTGGGGATGACCATCTGAAAACGCCCTCCATGAGGTACGAGCTGTTGCAGGGGGCGGAATTTGTTGGGAAGATAATTTCGAATCGAGATGATCAGTCGTGCTGTTGCGGGGGCGTAGTGGGTTGTATAAACTGAACGCATGGGTACGATTGTCCCAGACATGGACTCACGGTCGATGAAATTTGGGTGGTCTGGGAGGTCTCAAACCCTTGGGGCATGATAGAGGACGTATGTGATGTAGAGGGAGGATGACGAGGGATGGTCAGTACTTCGGGGTGGAAATACCTTGCTTGCGTGTGTCCTTGGGTGCAGTGGAGGGATACAGCATGTCTTCTTGGTGAATGTTGTGAGTTTTCCACAGCCCCTCCAGCGGTTCATCTGCCCCAAGGTGTACGCCACTACCACAGTCGTACATTTTGTGGCACTGACTGTTCCGCGATGGCGCCGAGGCCGCAACAGTTTTAGAGGGAGCCGGGTCCCGTCTTACGGTGTCCGCTTCGGGATGCTTTCTCGCGGTATTCATGTATAAACAGTAGAGACCTACATAACCCGTGATGACGAGGCGGGCCGTCGTCGTCTGTGTAGTAGTTGGTAGACCTGTGTTCTTCTGCATGGATGGTGGTCGCCCATGCTGCTGCTGTGCGTGTAGCGGTTAATTCTTGAAGCGGTTCATCATGAGGTGAGCGAGCTTCGCAAGAAAACAGATGTCTCAAAATTTTGGCTTTTTGAATATGATGGTACTCTTTTTTTAAGTGTATGCTGGTGTATGCATTTATTTTACGGTGTGACTGCTGTTCTTGTGTTTCTCGCCGGACCAATCAACAGCTTTGATTCCTCCTCAATGCGGGCGTGCGCCGTACGCGAAAGCGTCGGCAAGATCAGCGCTGGCAACACCACGAACGAACGTGTCGTAGTTCCAGATTGTTTCCCGCCGGACAGCATATGTGTGCCTCGGATTCCCGTGCAAGTGTGCAAGGACCACTTGGAAAAATCAGACACGTCCATCCTTGGCAACATAACAGAAGAAGCACGACTTATTATTCTGTGTAGTCTAGACCTGTGATCAAGCTTGTTGACACGCTTCGTCCGCCACACAACGTCGTCGTATGGCTATTTGTCTGTGTGGTTTCACCTCCAGATATCTTTGTTTCAGCACTCAAAGCTCGTTGTTCGAAGTGTTGACAACTTGACATTTCTGGCTGCCTCTACACAGCAAAAAAAAGCGGTAGCTGTGTAGTCTATGTGTTGCTGCTGCTCGAAACAAGTTGGAAGGTGGTTGGGTGGTCACCCAACCCACGGCAGGTGTTTAAACCGAAAGCAGCAATGAAATACGCTCTTTCCAACATTCGACGCTTTCAAATCTCTCACCACTGCCGTGTGTATGCATGGTGCTAGTGTCCTTTGGTTGAGAACGACACCCCATCGACCTCGCCAAAGGGGGCCAAACTACGAAAGCCCCCTGGGGCATTATCGTGTTATTTTCCCGTCCCTAACTTCTGAGCATCCTTTGCAATGACGACATGCTCTTGAGGCTTCGAGTTGATGCTTGCAAGCATACAGATCAATGGCATCGACGCCGGCATCCAACGGCATATTGGTGAAATTGAGAGCGAAGCATCTGATTGAGAGCGAGGTTGCGCGATGCGCTGCAGCTGGACTACTGCTGAGAGGTGGAGCTTGCTGTGTAGCTTGAATTGAAGGGCCAGCCCGTAACTTCAAGCAGATACCCTGGTCATCCTGTGGGAGTCTCTCGATGTGGACTTACAGCGGCGAGCAGAAGCTACAGCAGAGCCCACCGCCAGAGGCCAAACCTNGCTGAGAGGTGGAGCTTGCTGTGTAGCTTGAATTGAAGGGCCAGCCCGTAACTTCAAGCAGATACCCTGGTCATCCTGTGGGAGTCTCTCGATGTGGACTTACAGCGGCGAGCAGAAGCTACAGCAGAGCCCACCGCCAGAGGCCAAACCTCCCTGCAACAGTTTGAGGCAGGAATAGCCAATCTGGGGAAATCTAGCAACTTGTCTCGCTCCTAGCAGCAGCATCCGATGACGATGACACGCATATGCTCGTGACGCTGCTGATGAGACCTTCAATTTGCGCCGCTTGTTGGAAGAGCCCGCCGGCTACTTCCCAAGAAATGGCAAGAGGCGTCTGGACCCGAAATTGACAGATAGACGCATACGGGCACCACAGGTGATTTGTGATGGAGATTGCCGGACACATAGTCTAGACGTGTTGAATGAATATAGCTGCATACTGAAACCTCACAGATGCATTGGTTTTTCAGTGTACCAGACACATAGACGCGTTGAGTGGGGGTAGCTGCATACTGAAACCTCACAGATGCATTGGTTTTTCAGTGTACCAGACACATAGACGCGTTGAGTGGGGGTAGCTGCATACTGAAACCTCACAGTTGGATTCGTTGTTGAGTTTGCCAGACACATAGACGCGCTGAGTGGGGATAGCTACATATGAAACCTCACGGGTTGAGTGACGTTGGATAGTGCCAGACACTGACGCTTTGAGTTAGGAAAGACACAAACTGAAACCTCACAGGTGAATTGCATTGGAGATTGCCGGATACATAGACGTGTTGAGTGAGGATAGCTGCATACTGAAACCTCACGAGCTGAGTGATGTTGGATAGTGCCGGACACATAGACGCGCTGCGTGGGGATAGCTACATACTGAAACCTCACGAGTTGAGTGATGTTGGATAGTGCCGGACACATCGACGCTTTGAGTGAGGTAAGACAAATTTATTTATTTATTTTTGCCTTCCGACAATTGCAGATGTACCTCAGAAAACTTTCACTGAATGTCTCATACTCTATATGAATATTAAACCAATACGAAGTACAACAACATATGTAGGACTTATTATTTCTACTGTCATTTACATCGTAAAAGTATCTCCTCTTCAACTTACCAATGACAATCCTGATGGTATCCTATATGCGTTCGTAAGCTTGCTAAAATACTAAAACCTCACAGGTGAACTGTATTGGAGATTGCCGGACACATAGACGTGTTGAGCGAGGATAGCTGCATACTGAAACCTCACAGATGGATTGGTTTTTGAGTTTGCCAGACACATAGACGCGCTGAGTGGGGATAGCTACATACTGAAACCTCACGAGTTGAGTGATGTTGGATAGTGCCGGACACATAGACGCTTTGAGTGAGGAAAGACACATACTGGAACCTCACAGGTGATTTGTATTGGAGATTGCCGGACACCCAGACGCGTTGAGTAAAGATACCTGCATACTGACACCTCAAAGATGGATTGGTTGTTGAGTTTGCCAGACACAGTCTAGACGCGCTGCGTGGGGATAGCTACATACTGAAACCTCACGAGTTGAGTGATGTTGGATAGTGCCGGACACATCGACGCTTTGAGTGAGGTAAGNTGACAATCCTGATGGTATCCTATATGCGTTCGTAAGCTTGCTAACATACTGAAACCTCACAGGTGAAC